ACACACACACACACACAAAGTAGACTGTTGTTTTACTCAAGTGTTTCGGCAGCGGCAGTTCCAAACTGGATCCTTGACTGATAAACAAGCAATTCCAGATTGTTCCACTACCCCACAATATGCCCAAATTACCCCCTTAGGAGTAATTTCCTTCAGTTTAGAAATCACTGGCCCAGGCAAATTATATCACTGCAGGTATGACCGAACCACCAAATCCAGCATTCCTCACTAACGGGCATGTTTCCTGTGTCTGTTGGACTTGACATTCCACAGAGAGCCTTCCCTTCCAGTCAGATTCCAGACCAAGATTAGTACTGAGACAGCTTTGGTTGCAGTTGTGGATGACCTGTAGGGCATCTGGGATGGGGGTGGTGCATCCTTGACCTCTCAGGGACCTTTGATACCATCAATCACCGTACCCTTCTGGAGCACCTTAGGGGTTTGGGAGGGTGGGGCACTATATTGAGGGGTTTCTTCTGTTTCTTCCAGGGCTGGTTCCAGTCAATGTGGGGTGGACCAGTCTACTCCTAGCCCCCTGCTTTGTGGGGTGCCTTAGGACTCTCCCCCTCATCTTTTTTAACATCTACATGAAGCTGCTAGGGAAAGTAATTCATCAGCATTTGTGTAGTATTATCATATGCCAATTCTACTTAGTTATACATTTCTGTCCCTGGCTATTCAAGTGAAGCTGTTATGGTTCTGTCCCAGTGCCTGGAGGCTGTGGGGGTCTGCATGGGGAAGAACAGGCTTCAGGGCCAGCCTAACAAGGCTGTGGGTTTTTGGCCCCATCAGTCCTAGAACCGGAGAGGTGTCATCCTTGACTCTGAGTGGGGTTGGACCTCCTCGCTTGGGTTCAGTGCATACTTTGGGGGTCCTCCTGCACTCATGGCTCCTGCTTGAAGATCAGGTGGCAACGGTGGCCAGGGGACCCTTTGTAAAATATCATCTTGTATGCCAATTGTGCCTGTTCCTGGATCAGACCAAGAAACGGATGCCATGGAGGCCTAAAACTACTTTTACTAAGATTGGGTAAAGCAATAGAATCTTGCAAGTCTGAATGTGCTTCCATTCCTCCCTGTTTTACATGTCATGTGAATCAGCCTAGTTTTTGTACACCTTCCCCCTCATTTGGGCTTCTGCAATATTTATTTCCTCACTGGCTTGGTAATGGATCTTCCCTCTCTCCATCAAGGTCATCCTCTTTACTCTATGTGGACATTGCACACAATTGCTCATGCCCTAGTCATCT